GAATGTTTAGACTGCTTAAGCAAAATCATTGATGCACTGCCGGCAGCCTCTCTGTAATGGTCTTTGTTGGCAATTTGGGATGTGTAAAATGTCATCTCCAGTATATTAATAAAGCTTTCATGCTGCGTGTACACACAGATTTACACTTTTTTTGTTGTTGTTGTTGGGTAGAATTCTTTCCTGGCTATGCCTCCATCGCATTGGATCCACGGGGCAAGGCTCCCACTGGACAACATATAATGTCAATAAGCCCTGGGCACGGCTTGGCACCATATGCTACCATCACAACAGAGGTGAGAGGGGCACAACATGTGGCATTTCTGTGAAAGTATGGGAAACGGTTGCAAAGCCTTTATCAAGCTATGGAGTACAGAGCTACATCAGAGTTTGTATCTAAGATCAAGCAAAGCTGGGATGAAACAAAGATTCACAGCAAAAGGAGAGAGGTAATGTTGTGTAACAGCTGACACAGCTGATGCCTGTAATAGAACTCTTATGACCTTTTCAGCAGTCATTTTGTTTCCTCCTTTCCCTTTTGCAGTCTTCATTTTTCTTCAGAGTACCTGCTTTTATCTCTGTAGTTAACATTTCAGGCAGAACTAAGCTGCAGGATACAGCACATGTCCTTTACCCCTCCTGCAACCTGCACCTACTGATTAGTCATCTCAAATTAAAATTCAAATGTCAATTTAAATAGAGTGCCCACGTCTTTAAAGGTGCACTAGACCCTACAGTGTCTGAAAGGAAATTAATTAGAGCACTTTTAATAAAATGCCCTATTTTTTTTTAATGAAGAGCCTACTCCCTCTAGGATAGACTGGTTATATTATAGTAGTCAAAGGTCAGTGACCTCACTTCTGTGCCATACCGGTGAATTTGACTGGCTGGCAGAGGCATACTGTGAAGTGGTAATTCAAGTTTTTATTTTTTGACTCCTCCAGCTGCTGTATGTGGAAACAGAGGAGCCTCACGGCACCCACAATGCTTTGCCACTTCGTTCCTCGCTCACTCCCACCAAGAAAGTCGACGTGGACCGAACCATCATGCCAGACGGAACCGTTGTCACCACTGTGACAACCGTCCAGTCTCGACTTAAACTTGAACGCAGTCCAGGTAAATTTAGAGCCAGTTTTCACATTGCACCTGGTTTGGTGTAGAATGAGATGAAATAATGTTAACAGTCACATAAAATCATTGTGACACCTTTCAGGTGATTCTCCTTTGTGTTCACCGTCCAAAGTGGAGGTGACTGAGAAGAAACCCACTTACTTGTCTGATGGCAGAGGCGGCGTCAGCCCCAATCTGAGCAGTGAGTTCCAGGGTGAAAGGACATACACTGTTTTACATAGCAAAGCAGGCAAAGTAGGATAAGCAACAAGCAGCAGTGTAACATGAGTCAGGAGGACTGCACTTTTCATACTCTTGTCATGAACTCTCTGTGTAGGTAATCCTGTTCATAAACCTTACCTACTGGTTTACACAGGGAAACTGCAAAATAACTAATGAGACAAACACAAAACAAAATGTTAGGCCAATGTAACTAAATATGCAATTTCTCTTAGACATTAAAATAATATTCTTTTTAGTTTGATACAATAGTTTTTGGCATGTGTTTCTGATAAACCATACATTTTTATTATTGATGTGCACTGCAACAAAAATCAGTTCAGTAATGTGTACATTTTTGAAAAACAGAATATCACAGAGTACTAGTATAGTGCTGATTTACATTATGTTTTTGTTGCTCAGAGAGCAGCCGCCTTTCTAATGGCCTGGATCCTGTTGCAGAGACCGCCATTCGGCAGCTGACAGAGTCCGCCTCCAAAGTAGCACGGAAGACGCCAACAAAAAGGAGCACACTGATCATCTCGGGCGTGTCAAAGGTCAGAAGACGATGTCAAACTAATAACATCTGCCCCCTTGTGCCATAACTAGTACAACACAACGAAAGTAATGAGACATTCTTCTCTGCTTTTTGAGACATACGCTAGAGTTTATTTATATTAGTGCAATTGTTCTGATTTTAAAACCTTCAGTATATGTGCACCTACTTTAAGAAATCTAAAATACAGTAACATGGAGGCAAGCAAAATAAGGTTGATCTAAATTTAGCCCACAGTGAAAGCCCCACTGGACCACATTATAGCAGAACCAGAATCTTTTGACCTGATTTCTGCCTGAAAGCCTGTAGAAGTGTGTTTAGTGCAAGAGGCTACACTTGAAACCTAACACAAAATTCACTGGAATGTGCATAATAATCTTAGTATGAAAGGTGCATTGCTAGGATTTTACTCATTATCTGATAGATCAAGTCCAAATGGGACAGAACGTGGTGTCTCTCTGCTATTCTATCCCCTTCCATGACAGTCTGCTGACTACAGTGTTTGTTGTTGTTCCAGCTTTTCTAAGCTATGTTTTCAAGATAAGGTCCATAAATTAGCCCCACCTGCCACCTAGCAATGATTTTAAGAAGTGTGTATCGAACCACCGATGGTCATTTCAAACAGCCAGTCATGAGGACCTCTTGGCAGCTAAAAGTCTGACCAAAGAGGTTACTTTTTAAATTTTATTTTATTTTATTTGTACAAAAGAGGAGCAAAAAACAGGTTAACATCAGTTTAGCTTTCTGAGATGGAGAGTGTTAAATATAGCCAAAGGACTAAAGTTTGATTCAGAAGTGGTGTTCTTCCTTCTGGATGTATTAGCATCTAAAGCTAACATGTTTGTTTTTTTTTTACATTAGTGACCTAGTATGGTCATGATTTTACCTTGTGTATTGAATTAAAATGATTCTTATTTGGAAGTAATTCACGTATTGTGTAATGTTAGTGTTTTGTGTCACATTAGCAGTAACCAGAGTTCGAGTGGATTGCCAAATTTGCTAGTCAGATAACACTAGCTTCAGACTGGAGGCAGCATTTTGTTCAGTTTGTGGCAACCAGGCATCTGTAGTTTATGTTGTCACTAGGAAACAGGGTGTGATGGGAGGAGCAAAGAGTGGTTTTGTTCCTCTCTGGACCCTCTAGCCACTTAAAATCAACAAGGTAGAATAGCTTTAAGGTTTTATGGTCCAATAACTAGTTATACACTTCCATCACTCCTCCTGCGTCCTATGAATCTCCATGATGAATTGTGCTAGCATTGTTAATTGATTAATTGGCATCAATTGATCCAATATCTGTTGTAACATTCACCAGATTCCGCTCTCAGAAGATGACTGTGCATTATCGAGCGGCTACGCTGCAGCCATGGATGCAGCTATGCATGACAACCATTTCGGGTTGGGGCATCACCAAGACCCAGATGAAACCACACCCTCCGATGTGTCAGAGCGTCCATCTGTGGATGATGTGGAATCAGATACTGGTTCTACGGGTGCCTTGGAAACCCGCAGCCTCAAGGACCATAAAGGTAACACAACTGCTTGATATGTGTATTCCTCAGAGGTAGAGGTTCAGTTTCCAAAAACACTGTTCAGTAGTCATTGCTAAATGCTAAATGCAATCCTCATATTCAAAAGTTCAAATATTATACGTTACCATTCTCAAGTCATTAAAGCATAAATATTTTTTTTGTCCATGTAAATACAATTTTATTTTCATAACTCATTGCTGTTCTTCTGGACAGTGTAGTCTCTTGCAAACATATCTTGTATTGCTTTACACAACATCAACACTTCTATTGCGCAATCACTGTTTTAATGATCATACAACATAAGTGTTGATGCTGCCCACTAGAGGCCATGCTGCAGTATAACCCCAAACCAGTCTAAAGTAGTTTTGAATATCAATTTGATAAAGGATCTGTCTCACGGAATTGGTCAGGTAATTCATAAAGCTAGTAGTTGGGTGACTGGTTAGTGTTCTTTTTTTAAAACAAATTCTCAATACCACAAGATATTAATGAAGTTATGTGCTCTGTCTGCTTCCTGCAGTTGGCTTTCTGCAGAGTGGATCAAAGCTGTTGTTCCGCAGAAGACATCGAGAGAAGGAGTCCTGCCTCAGCCAGTCCCATGAAGACATCTCCAACATGGGAACTAACTTTGCTGCTGCCGCAGCTGGCAGCCGTAAGAAGTCTGGCAGCTTCTCCCGGCGTCTCATCAAACGATTCTCATTCCGTTCATCAGGCAAATCAAAAGGCAAAGGCACTGCTGCAAATGGAGGAGCAACCTCGCTGGATAACTGATCACCATTGCTAGGTTGGGACACGGGTCATCCTGGCTTAATAGGATTGTTTCATGGCCTCTGTTATTACTATCAGAAGAACATTTAAACCTTGCAAGAGTCCAGTCTTTGACAGATTGTCACCTGACTGTAGCTCATGTGAATGCATTTCAGTTTGCTATTGAAAACTTCAACCAACCAGGATCACTAGCAGACTCTTCAAGCTGTGCAAGAGTTTAAACTTTTTCAGGTTGTTTGTGTCCCCTGTTAACTCCAATAAGTAAAAAATGTATCAATTTATCCGCTTATGGACATCTTATTATTGCAATAACTATCACTACAAAAGCATATTGTGTAACGTTTAGAGGCATAATCACAATGTATTTCTTTTGAAATCTCACATGAGTGACAACACTGCAATAATGCAGCAGTTTTTGGAGGTCTCAAGGACACATTCAGAGACTCTGCTGGGGCATTGCGAGCAACAAGATTATCAAAGTTTATGACAATGTGATGGGTGGAGTGGATGTACTCAGGGCTACAAATGAATTGATGTTAGCATCTAAAGATATGAGGAAACCTGCTGCATCTTTCAAAGGCAAACAAAACCAGTATGTAAAAATGTACATACATTTTTGCCCATTTGTGTTTTGTCAGAGAACATGAAAAATCTTTTTAACTGACTGCATTAATTATGAGAAGAAGAGAACAGGAACAACCAAATTAAATCATTTTGTTGTACTTTTCATGTTTATTTGCATCAGTGAAAAATGTTCAGATGTTAAAAGGGATCATGGAGCCAACGCTGACTGAAGGACTCTAATGGACATGTACCATGTGATTTACAAAACTATAGCCAATTTAAAATGCTGAAGAAATGAACAGAAGCCACTTCGTTGTCTAAAGGCACACTAGATATAGCTGGAATGTGAAACAACATGGCTGTAAAATTTAAGATATATGTGGATGTATGTGTTATATTTAAACTTTAATTTATTTCAAATAAATTATTTTTGAAGCATCACACATGTTGTACCTAACTCTGAATTATTTTGGGCTATTTTATTTATTTTATTATATATCTCCAGAAGGTTCTGTGTTTTATAGCGAAAAGTGTCTGTGTAAAGCTACTTGCCATTGTTTAAAGGAGATCGAAATTCCTTTAAACACTGAAGCATTCCGATTCTTTTAGCCATGCTAACTCTGAGAGACGAAGCAGTCCAAGTAGCTTCAAAACAGTGCCGATTTATTCAATGAACACAGGTAAAAATTAACATTACATGCTCTGGTATCTTGCACCTCCAACATGCACGCAGGCAGCTGAAG